TCTCTCTCTCTCTCTCTCTCTCTCTCTCTCTTTCTCACTCTCTGCCCCTGTGTGTGTCTCTCTCTTTTTCCCTTTCCTTTACTCATCTACCCTCTACGTCACAGGACGCTAGAAAAAAACAAACTTTTTTAAAGTGCAAGAAAACGGCAAGCTGCAACAGAATATTATATACCCTGACTTTAGCTTTAAATTAAAACCCTTAACTGTGTTCCTGTTCATTAGATTTTCGACGTTTCTCTCGCAATTTGCTCTGTGCTATTTGTGGGGCGGGAAAATCAATAATTCCTCATTTAGGAACACGCTAAAATAGCATCATTATTACGATTGGTTCTTTCAAGCCATTACGTACGTGTGGACGACAGTGGTTGAAGGTCTTCAGCTGAGTTCTTATTGCGTAGCTAAAATGTAATGGTGGCCATTTTGCGAGTCAATTTCTGGTATTTCATACTGCGATCGGGTGTGTCAATGTCGGTGTATCTAGTTAGTGACCTCCGTGACCTCTCTTCTAGCTCTACCAAGCGCCCCTCCTCTTAAATGTAGAATCATAGTTTGGTGCCTATTCAAGATTCCAACAAGCGATATGCCAGCATAGTGAATAGTGTTTCAGAAACAGCGTATAGTCAGTTTTTCTAATTTTGTCATTGTAATTTCAAGTTCGTCATGCTTGTTGCAATTTCATCGCTCACCTTTGATTTCGGTGTAAAAAGCCAGAGTGAGGGCTACTTTTGACCTTCTCGATTAATGGGTTAGCTCCGGACTAAGATACCCATCTTGTGTTCATTTTTACAAGTGTATTTCTTATCTTAAAAAATACTCAAGTTATTTATCTGACAGCGATCACAATAGACAGGATGAAACCACTTAAAGCACTTTCTCACTTGCCAAAGGCGGAAATCATGAAAGATTTCGGTATCATTTCTTCTAGGAGGTTATACAGTAAGGTCGTTGGTTCCCACTGGCAAACAAATCCAGTAGCTAACCCCAAGGTCGCACGTAACTTCTTAAGTGTTTGTTGGGATATTTGTACGAGATAAGCGTGGGAGGGGGGGGGGGGTTGGACGTATCATTCTACAGACGTTTATACAGAAAGAAACTAAGGGCAAAAAATGTAAAGTGCAAAGTAGATCTATATAAAATCAACACATGTTTTGTAACCCATAATACAGTTCTGAAAAAAAGAAGCGTATAATGGCTGTTTTGTTTCTGTGTTTGTTTTAGAAAACGTTTCACGGAGCTCGCAACTCCATAAGGTTATATGAGTGCGCAGGACACAAGTTGGTTGTTTTCACATTCAGCATTTTCAGTTTTGGTAGGAATTCATTTCGAATTTTTTCCCGGGTGGCCGCCAAAGCCTACTCTTATCGGTTTTAGGACCACCAATAGATCTTTAACGTTCGCAACTTGTGACCTGGACCCCCGAGATTTGTTCGCCTTATATCCGAAAAGGCTCGGTGTTCGATTTTACCTACCTTAAGATCAGGGGTCTGGCAGTAATGAATCAGGAGCCCAGAGGAGAGGGGAAGAAAAAGGGGGGGGGGGCAAAAAGTGGAGATAAAATTGAAAGCAAATGAAAGAATATGACTAGATAACAGGACAATAGGTGGCAGGTGTAGAATGAACAAGTTGCTGAAGTGGCGTTTTTAATGCCTGCTGTTGTTGTTTATATAGGCCATTATCATTATTGTTGTTGATTATTATTGGTTAGTTGCTGTTGTTGGTGGTGATGGTTGTGGTTGTGGTGATGGTTTGTTGTTGTTGTTTTTGTTGTAGTTGTTGTTGTTGTTGTTGTTGTTGTTGTTGTTGTTGTTGTTGTTGTTGTTGTTAATGATGTTGTTGACTGTGATTGGTTTGTTGTTGGTGGTGGTGGTGGTGGTGGTGGTGATGACGATGGTTTTATTGCTGTTATCGTTGTTGTTGTTGTTGTTGTTGTTGTTGTTGTTGATTGTGGTTGGTTTGTTGTTGGTGGTGGTGGTCGTAGTGGGAGTGGTGGTTTGTTGTTGTACTTGTTCTTGTTCTTGTTGTTGCTGCTGCTGCTGTTGTTGTAGTTGATGATGTTGTAGAATTAACACTCACTATGTGTCTTTTCAAGTCTGTGTGTTCTGGACCATGATGAGTGAGCTGTTTCCCCACAGTGCCAGAGGCGCCGGCATTGGTGTAGCCTTCATGTGTTCCTTTGCCGGGTTCTTCGCTCATTGCTACCTCTTTCCTTACATGCTGGTGAGTAGTATATGTGTGTCTTGGGGGGGAGGGGGGTGAAAAGTGTATGTGTGTATGTTTGTTTGTGTGTGAGAGTGGATGGGTGGGTGGATGGGTGTGAAAATGTGTGTGTGTGTATGTTTGTTTGTGTGTATGTTTGTTTGTGTGTATGTTTGTGTGTGTGGATGGGTGTGTGGGTGGATGGGTGTGAAAATATGTGTGTTTG